AATATAAAATTGAACAAACTGAATTCTTCATTAAATAATCTTTTAAAATGCCTTTGGGAAAAAGAATCTTTTAATGCCTTTCACGTTTAATATTTTTGTAAAATATTTCAATTTCACGATACAAAATTGCAAATTGTTCAACATCAAAATAAAATTATTTATAAATACTCATTTAATAATATTGGTCAAAAATAAATATTTCATTTCGTGGTTTAAATTCTTAAACATCAAATACCAAATGTCATAGTACTATTAAAAAAACAAACATTTGTTACTTGCTAATGTAGTAAATTTAATCGGAACGATTCATTTTATATAATTCAAGCAAACTAAGTATTTATGGCCAATAAAATATACTTCTTGTTTTTAAAAAAAAAAAATCAAAGGGAAGACGAAGAAATTCAAGTTAAAAGCGGGATGAAATCTGTAACCCTCCATTTATAGGAAAACTTTTTATATTACTAGGTTTTTGGCTAACAAAATTTACATTTAATATCCTCACAGAATATTATATACTACATTCAATTCTAAATATAAGATTTAGTTTATAATATAAATTAAATCTTATATTTAACACCGGAAGTAGTATAAAACATCATATGTTTATGATGATAGTTTTTTTAGTTGAATTAGTTGTTATACAAATCTAAAATGACTAAATGTTGTTTCAAGGTTTGATAATATTTTTATTTTATGACGCACATAAAAAAAATCATTTACAATAATAAGAAGTATATCTTCCATCACTGAGGTTAAAAAAAAAAAAAATCTCCCACCACCGTCTCAAAAGCGGAAAAATTAAATAGTGTAATTAAAAATTATTTCCATTTTCTCGTGTCCTTCAATCCGCCAATTCTTCGACCAAAAAAAATAAAAACAAAAAAACAAAACCGCAAATCTGAGTGGGCCCCCATCCTCCCAGAAGGGCGAAATTCGTCATTCGCATGATCGCAACGGAACCACGACTATTTTATTACTTCACCAATAGTAGTGCTTCTCCACTCTCCCTCGCCGACTCAACGTGCGGCCCCACACGTAACGACAACGCGGCGTGACATAAATTACCCGCTTAAATTCTTATATATATAACTATAAATTTTGACAAAAACAACTGCATAAAATTAAATTTACTTATTTATTCTATTTTATGTCTCCGACATTCTGATTCCACCATCAAAATAAATTAAAAAAATTATGAAGGGGATACTATGAAAATTACTCAAGACTCTAACTTCCCTCAATCAGGTTCTAACTTTGCTCAATATTAAATCTAGAGAGAATTATAATGAAGTTTAAAAAAAAATAGTTATTAAAAATTTTCAATAACAATCTAGATAGTCTGTAATAATAAATTCTAAGAAATAACAACTTTTAAGACTAATTTTATAATTATTTTTTTCTTATAATTTTATTATAATTCTCCCTTAAATTTATGTTTATCAGCAAAAGAATTTGGGAGTTGAAAATATCTTTTTTTTAATTTATTTTTCTGGGATGATGAGATCTAACATTAGCCAATTAAATAGGAAATAAGAGACTAAAAGTTAAAAACATTCATTTTTCATAAGAAAAAAAGTTGGGTCTTGGGTTCATCAGAATAAAAACATTCACTCGTCTAAAAAAAATCTCTAAATAAAATTAAAATTTTAAAATCTTATACTACATCTAATTCTTAATATAATACTCAATTGATTAATTTGAGAAAATTGAGAAAGTTACTAAATTAGTTTAGAATATTTATATTTATCATTTTTTAAAACTAATTTTTCTCTTTTTTTATACGAAAAACTAATTTATCTCACTTATAAATTGATGGGTTAATAAAATTTTTAGTCGCTCAAGTTTGCTCTCATTTTGGATTTAGTCCCTCAAGTTTCAAACTATAGGTTTTGGTCCCTCAAGAAGTAAAATGATCAAGTTTTTATTAAATTATAAATGCTAATGTTTTAAATAAAAAAAAAGTTGAGGGACTAAAACCTATAATTTGAAACTTGAAGAACCAAGATTAAAATAAGGATAAACTTGATGGATTAAAGTTTGTATTAATCCTAAATTGATATATAATCTGGTGATCCACATAAGTATTTTAAAAAAATTATACTCCTTCTGTCTTTAATATAAGACCTAATTATTAAGTTAATTTTGATCCTAAATATAAGATCTATTTATCATATTTATCAATTTTTTTCTAAATTACCCCTATGAATACTCTCTTAACCATAATCAAATAAGTAAAGAGGGAGAATATTGAGAAAGATTATTATGATGTTTTAAGAAAAACATGTCATATTTCTTATAATTAACTAACTTACTTAACTTCTTTAATATAATCAAATTAGTTAAATAGATATTATATTAAGAACCGGAAAAATATAATATAGGCTATAATTAAATAATTTATTAATTCTTTTAATATTTTTAAATTAGTCAATTTGGTTAATGGCAGCACAAAAAAAAAAAAACTTCATAAATGCTTTCAGGGGGAGAATTTGAACGCTGATCACGGAGTGATAGGTTCAGGCTTTCAGCCCAATATGAGCCGTGGGATCAAATTCCCCCGACAAAATCGGCGGCGACCGATTGGTGAAAACGAAATTGCAAAACGGTGCTTTGGTGGGATGCGCCCCGCCGACGAGCAGGCCACGCCCGCAAACATACACGCAATACATAACGGTTACATCCCCACACAGAAAATTTTCCTTCCTTCCTTCTCTATATTTAATTTCCATCTTCTTCATTTTGGTAATTTATTCCTTAGTACTTTAATAGTTCAATTCTCCATTCACTTCTTTGTGATAGTGGATGCACCGGAAGTTGGATTCAGAAATTTATAACAGAATGAATTAGGAATTCATTTCAGTTCTTCTTTTTTTCCCGGGGCCAGAGGAATTCAATTCATTCTACTGCAAGATTTTTTGCAGTATTTAGAAGAAGTGACCCCAACAGTAAGTGCTCCCTATAAAAAGGGTTATTCAGGAAAAAAATTTGGTTTTTATTATAAAACGTCAATAGAGTCATTAATGATTTTTTTCTTAGTTTACCCCTAATTATAAATTATTATTGTTTATATAAATAACTCTTCACTAGCTCTTCGAACTTTGTTATAAGTGTAGGTTTGGATTAATGATATAACTGTTATTTCTTAATTTGTGTACATTAGCTTGTTACTGTCTTATAATAAGGACTAGAAGGAGTACCTATTTGTTAGTTGTGTAAAATTAATTTTACATAATGCAAAGTAAACATACCGGTGTGATGAACAAAGTTTTGTCACTTTTTAATGCTCTATAGTGTCTAGAGCAAGGTTGTCAAATTCACGAATTTAAACCAACTCTTGATAATGATATAAGCTCGAATCACAAACTCGGCTCGTAAACTCGTAAGAATTTACTTTTATTAATAAATTGGTATTAAAAGTATATAATCAAATAATTAATATATAAAAAATGAGAATAATTTCATTTAAATATATTTTAAATTTAAATAATTAAAATTATATTCATCAATGTTAATAATTTATCACATTTAACAAAAAAATTTTTACAAAATTCATATATAAAGTCACTAAATATAATCAAGTCCAAAAATTTAGCATGAGTTTAAAAGCGAGTTAACACGATTTTGTATGCTAAAAACGTAAAAAAAAAATAAACTCAGTAAATGAACTCATAAGTTTAACTGAATAAATCGACATGATTTTGTTAGCTAAAAACGTAAAAACGTTAAACTTAGAGAGTCAACTCGCGAGTTTGACCACAATGGTATAGAGTTTTGTCTCACAAAGTATGAAAAAACCTTTTAAATTCTCCCAAATTTGTCGCAAGTAAATCTAAATTGTTGTCTTCACGATGTCAAATGTTGAAGATTATTTGAGGGGAGAAAACATTTCAACATTTGTCAGAGAGGGATGGTCTAGTTATTTCAATTTTTTTCAACTAAAATTAATACAGGTACAATAAATATTATCTTAATGATAATACATTAGATTTTTAATTAAATAATTGATCTTATCAGATTATATTAAAAATTACCTTGACTTGTTTCGAATTTGCTTTGATGTTATCATATGATATCATATGATAAGTAAATAGGCTATCGGTGTCATTAATAATAATACATGCGTGAGAGTGATAAAATAATAAGGATATGGCATTTTATTTGTGCAATAAAAAAAATAACGTGTTTGATAATTATATAGATCAATCAACTTGACTACTAATTATAATGTCTATGACCTATGATGTGCATTGAATTAAAATATTAATATGAAAAAAACTAATAATAAATGAATCTAACTACAGTGAAAGAAAAAGCAGACCGTCCAACTCTAATCCTACGCACTTCTTATTCAAGTCCTTAACCCATCCTTGCCAACACATACTTGTAAATATACTCATCTCAAAAATATATTTTTTTGTAAAAGAACAAAAAAAAAGTAAATCTATAACGTAATATTATGATAAAAGTTGCTGAAAAATCTCATTTTTTTTAAAATTTATCTAAAAAGTACCTAAAGGCCAGAGTTTTTGAATGTATGTAACTTTTTTTTGGGTATCGCTTTGCGCAATTAGAAGGATTATATTGAAAAAAATACATAAATATTAGAGACAAAAGGGATTTGGGTCTTATATTTAGGATTGAAATAAAAATCAAACAAGATTTTATATTAAGGACATATTACAAAGGTTAAATAAGAGGTGCACTTTAAATAATAAATTTTGTCACGAGAAATTTGAGAGCAATTTTCTCATATTATAATTATAATATTTAAAATGAGAAATGAACAATTAATAGAGGAAAGGATTAACAATACATCACATCTGTTACAAAAAAAAAATGCACCACATCTTTATTTTTCAATTTATTTTTCTCTGACATCATATTCACAGATCGTGGCAACAAAAAAAAAAAAGATTAATATTCAAGGAAAATTGATTCATATTCAAAGAAAATGTATAGTTTTGGGTGGGGGCACCGATTTATATATAGATGTAGAGGGAGAGAAGGAGAGAGACAGAGAGAAGGTGCTGGGCGATTGACTCAGCCTCTGCGCACCTCTGGTGATTTGGCATTTTCTGGTTTTGTTTTTGGTGCTAATTGGTTGGTTGGTTGGTCGCCTATTTCTGCCTTTCATCTTCTTCTCCTACAGTAGTTTTCAATTTTACATTTATGTGTCTCTGTGCATTTAGAAGAGGGTTCTCTGCTATTTAGCTTTAGCGTGCTCTGCTAAAGAATCACACTATCCATCAGCACAGGCACCAACGATATCACACACGGAAAGAGAAATATAGAGACAGAGAGAAAGTGAGAGAAGGGGGGGAGCAAGAAAAAGGGCTATACTGTTTTTTGACTGACCTTTGTTGCTCTGCCTCTTTTTGTTCTTGTGGAGAGAATGGAATGATGGGCACGGTGGCTAAACTGGGCTGAAAGCGAATGTTTGGGTGCTGTGAGAATAATATTATATATATTTCTGCAAACAGGAGGCCTTTTGCTGTTTGGGAAACAGGAATTGATTATGAAAGCTGGCAAAATGAGACTACTTTGAAGGTATATCTTGGTTGGTTGAGCATTGTTGTCAAATGAGGTAATGTGTTTTGGAATGTTCTGAATCTGAATATCAGTTTTAAGTGTTTTGAGTTTCACTAGTTCAATATCCTAACGGGAAATTATTTTTCCCTCTGAAGAATTCTTCATACGCGTGACTCCCGAGGTGGGTGATCTTTGCCACCTGACTTGGATTGGGATTCCTTCCATGCAATATTTCACACCAAGACTTGGCCTAATAAACACAAACGCCTTCCACATGCGCAATCCTGTGCCAAGAAATTGTTGATTTTATTTGATTTCAAGGGTCTGATCAGAGAAGCTCTTATTATAGAAATCTTCACAGGATTGTTTTGTATTTTTTTGGGGGGGAGAAAATGGCTTCTAATGCGGTGGAAATGCAAGAACCGAGCATTGACACCGATAAGCTTAGCTATGAAATCTTCTCCATCCTTGAAAGCAAGTTTCTCTTCGGCTACGAGGACCAGAAGGTCTGGCTTCCGAAGCAAATATCTGCGACAATTGAACCAAAACCAGAAGTTCAGTCTTACGCTGCCAACGTCGACGGCGTCTCCTCCATCAAGAATCAGAGAGGCAAAATATGCATACTCAGCATAGATGGTGGAGGCATGCGAGGGATTCTTCCCGGGAAAGCTCTGGCCTATTTGGAAAATGCGTTGAAGAAGAAATCAGGAAACCCGGACGCTAGAATCGCCGATTACTTTGACGTAGCAGCCGGCGCCGGTGTCGGAGGCATTTTCACGGCGATGCTTTTCGCCACAAAGGATCACCGACGCCCTATTTTCGAAGCCCAAAAAACATGGCAATTTTTAGCTGATCACGGCCAAAAGTTCTACCATCCTGGGTCCAGCGGCGGGAGCAGCCGCAGCTTCTTTCGTCGATTATTTACCAGCAACTCCGCTTCTGGTTCTGTCAGCTCCGTCACCGCCGGTCTGGAGAAAGCCATGAAGGAAGCATTCGCCGCGAACGGCAAAAGCTTAACTCTCAGAGATACTCTAAAGCCCGTCCTCATCCCCTGCTACGACCTTTCCAGCACGGCGCCGTTTTTGTTCTCCCGAGCAGACGCGCTCGAGACCGAGAGCTTCGACTTCCGGCTCTGGGAGGTCTGTCGTGCCACGTCGGCCGAACCGGGCCGATTCGAGCCGGTTCAGATGCGGTCCGTGGATGGTCAGACGGGATGCCTGGCTGTCGACGGCGGATTGGCGATGAGCAACCCAACCGGTGCAGCCATAACGCACGTGCTTCACAACAAGCAGGAATTCCCGTTTGTCCGAGGGGTGGAGGATTTGCTGGTGCTTTCGCTGGGAACGGGTCAGTTATTGGAGGCGAGGTATGAGTATGACCAGGTCAAGCGTTGGAAGGCTAAGGAGTGGGCTCGGCCTATGGCTCGGATTTCTGGGGACGGCTCTGCCGATTTGGTGGACCAGTCTGTGGCCAAGGCCTTTGGCCATAGCCGCACCTCCGGTTACGTTCGCATTCAGGTATGCGTTCCCGAAATTTCCTCTGCTTCGATTAAAAGAAATTACTTTGTTTTATTCTTTTGTCTCTCCATTTGGCTCAAAGCTGTCCGCTGTCCGTTGCTCTGGCTTCTTTGACACGGTTCAATCCATGCAAACGGCTAGTCTATGACCATAAAACACCCAATATGTGTAAATCAGACGGCGTTAGATATTTGCATAATGGATATATTTCACCCTCTTCTAATCATTGTTACATATTTTGAACTCATTCATGATGTAAGGCTGCGAGTGAGAAAAAACGATTAAAAAATGGACAGAAGTAAGGTTCATTTATCGGTGATGATTATACAAATTGTGTAGATTCATATCTTAAATTCATTCTTACAAATATAGCGGTGGGATCGAGAAGACAGGGTGGTTTTAGGATTGTGGCAGGGAAACCGGGAAGTTGTCGGATTTTATTTTAATTGTTTTCTTGTCGGATTTTATTTTAATTGTTTTTGTTCAAGGACTACACGTGATTGTGTGGGTGGTGCTGGGGATTGTTTCTATTGGGAACCAATCAAGGCTCTTTTGGTTTGCTCAAGGGTTGAGGAGTTTTTTGAGTTTCCCATCAAACGGTGGGTTGTTTTGATACGGAACTGTAGTGCAGGTGATGAGTATGGGTCAAATTTGTTCTCGTTCGGAATGTCCATCAAAAGGCGCGCGCGAGCACAAAGCCAAGAAACTAGTCTTAACCTGAAGTTAGGGTATCGAATAACTGGGGGAGTTTGAAGTTGTCCAGATGATGGAGAAGCTACCTAAAATTAGACCCTGAAACGTAAAGGGTATTCAATTTTGAGTCAATTTCAAACCAGCAAGGAGTGGGGTTTGTGTAGGGGAGGGATATTTCGCCTTGTCTCCATGTAGCAACTTGATAGGCATGGAGGTAGATTGCTGGATTTGGACTTGTTGGGATTTAGGAATTAATGTGTCTGGATCAATTGCTTAAAGGCCTTGCTCTCCATAATTCACTTTGCAAGCTTGTTATGTGATGGAACACTTAGTGTGCCGTCTCTGGCGGTGGAGTTGAACAGCCACATGGATGGTTATTTTCTCACTCTAGGACAAAATTGTCGCATTGCTTATTGCAGGGCTTTGAACTTCATTTATCCAAGTTCAGGTCCTCTCCTTGTTTGAGCCGTTTATGGTAATACACTTTTCCGGATAAACTGGTAAAGTCTATTTTCAATCGGTTTTGACTTTTGAGTCTACTATAAGAAAAACAACCATAGGAGAAATTGGTTGGTACATCAGGTTAATCATACTCATAAATACACATATAATCCCGTCAAATGGGACCCAACTAAAATGCGCGTTTGACCTCAGTTGCTTTCCTGTGGAGACTGGATCCTTGGCAACAGCATCGCATTATTTTCATCTCATTTGCATTTCTGGAGTGTTATTATGCTGCAGACGACTTGAAACGATACTATTTATGAACTCAATAAATCTAGCTTGAAAATTGTTCGGCAGTAAATGCCAAATGAATTAAGGGTTAATTCTGAATGCTTCTGAAATGGGTAATGACAGGCAAATGGGTCAAGCATGGGGCGATGTGGACCCAATGTGGATACGGATTCAAGTCCTAATAATGTAAAGATGCTGATAGGGATAGCAGATGAAATGTTGAAGCAGAAGAATGTAGAATCGGTGCTGTTTGAGGGGAAGAGGATTGGGGATCAGAGTAACTTTGAGAAGCTTGACTGGTTTGCCGGAGAACTTGTGCAGGAGCATCAGAAGAGGAGTTGCAGGATAGCTCCCACTGTTGCTTTCAAGCAAGCTACCGAAAAAGCGACCTAAGGGAGCAGGTAAGTGGTCTCTGTTGTTTTGTTTTGGGTTACCTCAATCATTTTTATGCATCCTTTCAAATAAAGCGTTTAGTGGACCCGTTGATTAGATATGATCAGGCAGGAAAGGCATCTTATTCACGATTATACAAGTATATATATAAAAAAAAAAAAAAAACAAGGGAATTGCTTACAACAATTCGTGAAATGCAAAAAGCACAATGTAGTTCATGGGCAATTGTATTATATTCTTTTTTAAATCGAGGGTTGATCGCAATATTCAAAATTGGCATGTGAATTTTTAAAACGCATCCAAACATTTCCTTGGACTTTTTCATTAATACATGACAAAACATACCCTCAAGTAGTTTTTGGTGTTACTCTTTGTAATCTCAGTGCTCTTTTTCATTGGTTTAGTAAGAGATTATAATAGAATTATTGAGATTGTAATGGACTTATTCATTTTTTTTGAGCAAATAATGGACTTATTCATTGACTTTCAATTTTATAGTTTATTTTTTTGACAAATCCTTTTATCACCAAGGTCTAAGTAGTGAAATCCTTGGGGTTTCCCATTATCTTATTATAATTAAGTTATGCACTTATGCATCATGTTGTCAAATTTTACGAGGTAGTTCAGCCATATATATCATCATTTACTTGTAAACTGTGTGGACCAACTGAACCCATGCCCTTCGAGTTTGTCTATTCATTTACCTGTTCTTTAGGTAAAGGTCACCAACCTATTTTACCCAATAAAAAAAGAATATCATACCTGAGCCGATTGGTACACAATGTAATGAAATTAAAAGAAAAAAAATCAGAATTTTGACAATAAAAAAAACAGCTCAATCTTTAAAAAAAAAATAAAGAACTAAAAAAATTTGAAATAATAGTTACCAAAATAAAATAGATAATACTAGAAGTTAAAAAAAAAGAAGATAAAATTATTCTCTTTCCTTACTCGCCAAAGGAGCCATAGAGGCTTGATGGGAGGGCGCTGAGCTGGTCAAACTACATCAAAATTGGTCTCCTTAGCACTGTGTGATTGCCCCTTAAAAATTCATGATTTTTCCACTTGAATACGATTTAATTTATTGACTAGTAAAGAACTTTATCAGAAACATGTGTTAATTTTGTTATTTTGTGTGTCCTTGGGGGCACCGTCTTGTCCTTTTCTTCTTTGTTCAGCAGAACACACCTTAGAGGACAGCAGGAGGGTTCCTGTTCTTTTTGCTATACGTCGAAAATATAGCATAAGAGATGAATTGGTTTGTCGACCCACCGACACACCCACTCTTATTGTGGGGACTCGGGGAGGGACATCCTGGTAATTTAATTTAGAAGAAAAGATTTAGGGCTTAGGCTGTTGGTAAAAGTTATTATATAAAATTCACCAAAAAAAGTTACTATTGTGTAAAATACTATTCTGTTGGAATTATTGAGGGCTTCCCCTAAACACAAATTATTTGTATCCTGAAAGGTGCTTTGTAATAACTAGATCTATAATGCAATTTTCATGTAGATTAATAAATTATATGAATTGTATATTATTAAGTTTAATAAAGAAATAAGAGCACATGAAGAAAGATCATAGAAGAAAAGACAAAAACGAAGTCTGTTACTAGCTAAATTAGTCAAATTTTAAATTAAAATACTATCTATTACGAAAAATAGCACATATGTAAAATTATCTAGAATTTATGTCAAAGACAAACAGACAGTAATGTAAATATCTGGTCCCCGGAAGCCTGAAAATTTATATTTGTCAGTCCAATTAACATTTTTTACACATAATCCATTGGCGCACCTTTCAAGGCGCTGTCCTAAAAAATAATTTTCATATAAGAGAATTCTTATCCATACTGAGAATTGTTTTTGTTAATATAAAAGTAAAAAGAGAATAAAAATATGAATGCAAATCAATGTCGAAATTTTTATTAATAAAAAACAATAAAATAAAACTAACTCTATGAATTATTGCATAGATTACATAATCACATATTTTGTATACAACTTTACCCTTTCTTTCAAGGGATGCCAGTTGTAACCTTGACTGAAATCATTCATCTCTAGTCTTGGTCCCATTTCCACCTAGGCTTATTGTGGACGTGGTTGCATTCATCTCTCCCTTACACACAATACAAATGTCAAATCCTTAGGCTCTTTGAAAGAACACTAAAGCTGGTCCATTCAAGTATTCTTGGACTGTTATAGGCCGCATGTTTTTATTTCTGTAATTCACACACAGAAGTGAATCTTTCATAATTTAATAACTCAAGCATCTCTTAAACTATATTGTTTCCTTGGTCTCTTTTGGTGTGCTTCGTATGAGAAACTTCTTAATTGCACAATTTTTTTGGGTAAGTAGAGAATACATGCGTAGATTTCTGAAAAAGGTGTCGGGTATGGAACGCTAGCTGGAATTTAGTGAGTGAACAATGAAAGTAGAACTGAGCATCACCAGCCTAGGACATGATTCTTTTGAATATATAAATTTAGAAAAAAAGCGAAAAAGATTAGATTGAAGAAGATCTTCTTTTGTTATTGTAATGAAGAGGTGAGGGAAAAGTAGCAGGGAGGTGTCAAAAAGGAAGAGAAAGCTGGTCACGAGCTCACATTCCAAACATTCCCACACCTGCTCCTTGACTTCCTTCGACTTCTTGTATAGTGCTCCAACCACAATACGATTTTGCGTGCTTGCTTTTGAATAGCCTTTTATGTCGTCTTCTATTGTCCTTGCTCTTGATGTATAATGCATCATGTCAAATTGAATTGTTTTTACTCATATGAATTCAAAAGAAAAGGGGTTAAAAGGTATGCCCTTAAACTATTCTTTCATGAGAAGTACGTATCTTAAACTATTAAATGGTGTAATGCCGTATCTGAAGTATTAATAAAATATTGTTAAAACAAATATAATATTTTTTTAATTACTTACTGGTGCCGATTTGATTAGTTTAGAATACCTTGTATCCTGAGAGAATAGTTTAAGGATAAAAATACCCGAAAATAATATAAAAGAACATAAATGTCTGCATCACTTAACATGTTTACACATTGTTTTTATGAATGCATGTATGGATGGGATTGTATTGAATTGATTGTGACTATTCATCAATGGTTAACCATGCCTAACTTTGCCCCCGGGGGGGGGGGAACCATGCCTAACGTTGGGTCTTGTATCTCCTTGCTTTGTTTTGTGATGGTTGGCGTTGCGTTCAATTGAATGTAACCACTTTTGACATTAAAGTCCACTTTTTTTCAGGTATAAACAGACATTAGGAAGGAGAAAAAGGAGCAGCAGTGGGGGGAAAAAAAACAGGAAAGAAGAGAGGAGGTAGTATAGCAGCTTTTACTTTTCAAGTGAAAATAGAGGAAGAAGGTTAGGGAGATGATGGAAATTGAAAAGGACAAGGAGTATCAAAAGGGGTGGATAACCTTTGTGGGATACTTTGCTCCCCAGAGAACAAACACTGGTGTCCACTCCTACCTTTTCTACAGTGCTAAACACTAAATGAGCCACAATACCTAAAAAGCATTTTCATTTGTAGCCTTTTTAGGGTCAAACACGCTTCAGCTTGGAAATTTCAATTTCAATATCAGACTTTTAAGCCTCAAACATGGTCTGCACTTCATTCTTCCCTGCCCGTTCTCTCTTTCATTTTTTTTAATTTAATTTTGTTATTGGATATTCTTGTAAATCTGTGATTCTAAATATATATACACATATATATTATCTGTCTCATCTTTGCTTTCAAGGAAGTTTAATTACCTGTACTGGGCGGTGGGCTTACGTTGATGTGAGTGAAACTTTAGAAATGGTAGTCAAAGTTCATTCTGACTTTTAATGCACTTCATAATACTGTGTTTCTTCAATGTACATAGTTACAGAATGGTGAAAAGATTTATGAGCGACCTTTTCTTAGTGTGGTGGGCCATCAAAGGCACTTGTCCTTGGTTGCATGCTACTACTTAAACTACGCAGTATATATATATATATATATATATATATATATGTGCGCATATAAAATTATTGTTTTGAATTGTCTCTGTATGATAGTAAAAGGGACTTTTGAACTAATTTGTTCAAGTGTCTTCTGTATGTTGTGTTCATCTTCCTGTTGGATTTTTTCTCAAGGGAAATCCCATTCATATCCAATCAAAATGGCCAAATTTCAAATTGTCCCATCAGATTCAACAAATCCTTAATTAGTCCAAAAGATCAATCGGGGATTTGAGAATGTTATGTATTTGCAACGTTGCTTTTCATTTTCTTTTGAAAAAGGGGCTACTCCTGTGAATCATCGGAGCCCAAAGTCATCTCTGCCCGTAATTGGCCGTCATCCCTTGCGGCCATCAACGATAGCAACAACTTTATTGTAAATAGATACTGAAATTTTGTGAATTGCTAAAAATAACAACAAAGATTTAGGAATTGAAGTATAAGTCTTTCTATATACTATAACAACAAAGTGTTATTTTACTAGGTAGGATTAGCTATATGGATCGTACGATGTTATTGAGTTCTATCCAAAACCAAATTTTTATATCAATATAAATTTAAAAAAATACTCTTATGTAGAACTCTTCTGGTTCTAAATATAAGATTTCTTTATAGTGTCAAATTATACTACAAAATGAGTCTTATATTTAAGACTCTGAGGAATATTTGAATTCAATATACCGTCCCGGCGGAAAATTATACCTAAAATACTACGTTGGCAACTCAAAAAAAAAAAAAAAAAAACCAAAAAACCAAAAACTTTAGGCAAGTATGTCTTGAAAACAGATACTTTTGACCATTGTGGGATGTGGGCCCTTGGTAACTTGGTTCTACAACGTTCATCTCCGTGCCGTACGGTTAATTTGCTTCTTCTTGAAGCAATCCACCATGACCTTTTTAATATTGACTTTCTCCATCACTCTCCTTTTCTTTCTCTTTTTCTTTTTTTATATTGAGAAAAGAAAAATTGCCATTCTACCAAAGTAATTGCAGAAAATTTACATAAAAATGGTAAGTTGCTTTGAAACGTAATGAAGAAATGAGTCCCAACATTATTTACCACTTTTGTGTATGAAATAATGTGGCAATCCACGTAGATAGATACATGTCATCCATTCCTTTTTCTTAATTACCTAAAGCGAAGCCTCAAATCCGCCCCAACATATATATAAGGCATTTTTAATTGTTTCATTCAGTTTAAGAAAAATGATTAGTGCCGTTAATCTTATTACATTTGTCATAAATTAATACCTATACTTTAGACCACTCAAACGGCATACCCCAAAAAGGATGCCCTAGGGCCAATGTGCACGTCCACGTCATTTAACTGGGTCCCACGATAACATCCTTCATATGAAAATTTGCCCTCATTTTAATTTTAATTCTGTAATTTTAAATCATATTTTTTGATCTTTTTAGTTTTTGTTAGTTCTCATATTTTTACAAAAATCTAAATCATTTTGTTTTTTAGAGGATTAAAACTAAAATAAGAGAAAACTATAAGTACTAAATATTATATTAACAATTATGTGTATTTTCGCACCATTTAAAAAAATTTATGTGCATTTTTACATTTTTTTTAACCTATATATTTGGCACACCGTGAACGTTAATTGACTTAATAGCCATGGTATTTTGTGTCATTTTAAAAACTTTATATATACTTTTATAGTACTCAAGAAATTAAAAATTTATGGTGTTTGATGCCATGGTGAAATATTTTATGGGTAGATTTATAGCTTAACTCGGAATCAAAAAAAGGGGGGAAAGAAAACAGAAAAAAGAAGAAGTGAGTAACGTAAGAAGAGCGGAGTGGGTAGCAGCGTCACCCCCATAATCAGAGGAAACGTGCGTCTGTGTGGGGGGACTTTTTAATGGGATTGGCCCCAAAAATATGAAATCTCAATTCTCTCCAAAAGTTGCAATAAAATGGCACCACTTTCACATTTGGTTTGGTTGTTGTCTTTGTGCATACCTAATTTAATATACTCTTTCGAGTGCCAACGGAAATGAAATCCCAAATTATGTTTGGTTGGTTACGTTCCATATTCCATGCAATGTTTCCCATTCCTTCGCAATTTTAAGGCCATGGAATAAAATTGTCATTATTAAGTATTACCCTTTCATTCACGTCCCCCAGTTTGAAAATGGTACCCCATTTTGTGCTCAGCCTAAGAGCTATTACTTCTTATCCTAATTATAAGATCTCGTTAAGAGGATCTTATAATTAGGACTAGAGGTAGTAATAGCTAGATGAGTATATTTAACCTTGAAAATAAGAAATCAATCCATTTACTCTTTTGAAGTCATACTACCTTTGAATATATGAGTCAGTTGGAGGTTACATGGTTTATTTTAGTACTTTAGGAAGATTAAGTCACGTTTGTTGTAATTAACTAATTTATCTTACTTATTTAATTTACTCAAATTATTTAAGTAGCTCTAAACTTAAAAATTATAAGAAATATAATAGTGTTTTTTTTTCCCAAAACGCTTCCTATTTTTTTTTTATCAAACACATGTATCTTTCTATTAGAGGTTTATTCAAGGAACTGTCAAATATTAAATGTAGGTATTTCTCCCTATTAATTGAATATATCAAGGAAAATTTGCATGAATTGAGTACTTTTCAATACAAATTACTTAAAAAGATTTTTTTTTAAAAAAAAATCAATACACATTTTTTTATAAATAATTAAGTTGACTAATTTTTTTTTTAAAGAAACGTTAAAAGAGTGATTTTCAATTCAACCCAGCAATACCTTTGGCCAAAAAAAAAAATTCAACCCAGCAATACCTGGTAATGATATAAAATATAAAAGTATTATTACTTCTGATCCTAAATATAAATATAAAAACTATTTATAGTATAATTTATATTACAAACTAATTTTTATATTTTGCACCAGAGGTAGTGTGATATGATTGGAGATAAACACACACAGTGATGAATCATCTCATGCTGCTAGTATATGAATAATTTTGGAAGTTAAAAAGTGGTAAGCTTTTGGGCTTGCTCAACTGGAACTGGAATTAATGAATAGACAATTAATAATTCAGGCCTGTTTGGGATAGTAGTAAAAATTCTTTATAAGTATGTTTTATGTAAATTGAAATAAAATTTTTCTCATATATTTACCTCATATTTCATAAATCACGATTAAAAAGCTATTTGTAAACTATTCGAAACAGGCCCGATATGACCTTACCAAGTATTCACATGCAAGATTTGTAACACAAACAAACGAAAGAAAGAATTGAATACATATGAAGCATATTCCACAGTGAAAATGTAGCCAAAAGGTTTGAATTTGATGTGAAGTGTCCCTTTGCTTTATCAACTTTTTGGGCTAAACATTAAATAAACTAAAAATCCATACCCTGTGATCTCACAAAAAGGAACAAAAAAAAGAAGCTACTTTTTATTTTTCTCCCGTCCTTTTAATTAATCATTCCTTAATTTGCTCTCTATCTCTGCAAATCAAACGCTTATAATTAAAGACATATTCATATTCCTTTCCTCTCTTTTTTCCTTGGATTGATCTTCACATCTCCTTTTCTTATTTTCATTCTGTTTGGCAGCTCGCAATTATCATTCACACTTAAACTAATTCATCAACATTTTTACAAAGAAAATATTTTCTTCGTGAGAAAGCATGAGGGAGAGATTCTTTTTCTTATAAATTAGTTAAGATGTAATTGTGTGTTCCTTAATTAGGGTTTGCTCGTAGTCTTTGATTCTGGTGCTAAGTCTTTGTTCATTCACAAAATAATGGAGAGCATGCTTCATTTTTGTCATCTATTCCCCATAATCATCCTTTCCATACCCACTGACTTGCCAACCAAAACATTGATATATTCAAGACTTGATTTTTTTCCCAAGAAAAAGGTCATCAACAATTAAATTCATGACTTTATAAATTAAGTAGAGTGAACTAGTTTAATTAATCCAATAAACTCCTTTTGCTGTATTAGTTTGGAGTAAGAACAATACTTTTAAGCTTTACGAAATAAAATTCTCATCGCATTTTATTTTTTACTCAAAATAAACTAATTTGAAAACCAATGATCACCTTAGATCTTGTCGAATTGAGTCAAACATATTGAGCCAGACATGCAACAAGCTAAAGTAATACTTAACTTGACTCAACTTGTGATTATTTGTTTTTTTTTTAATTATTTTTTGACTTAGCTATATGGTAAGCCATATACATTATTCGAAGTTTGAAATATATTTTTGACATATGGTTCTATATATATGGCTATTTTTTTTTACTTTGGATAATCTCTTACAATATTGAATTTACTTATATGATATTCTTTTTTTTGCTCTTAAATTTGAAATAATATGCACATTTTCGAATTGAGCACACACAATGTACCTCTTATATAGTAGTGGGTTTTCGTCAAGCAAATGGGAGAGACATATGACTGATCCAATAATGAGTATCTTTACTATAATTTAGATTAATTAACAATACTTGATGCTGAATTATTCAAGGGAAAAAAATCACATGAAAAACAGAAAACATCATCATTCTGGTTCATGATAGAAAATTAAAACCAAACAACATTATTCCTTTGAAATTTTTTAGATTTAAAAAAAGAAAAAAAGGCTCTACATGTTGTGATATTAATATGGCACTGCTTAGTTTGGTAGGGGTCACAACCTTTCATAATGCCTAATTGTCTTAATTTGGCTTTATATGGCTGTCATCTCCAACTTCCCTAGTCTTTTAATTATTATGTTATATTATACTCTCCAAACTTTTATAATTATTGGAATCTCCTTTATCATCACTTTTTTTTAAAAATAATTTGCATTTCGTTGCCTTATGTTCTTGT